CTTATAAAATACACCATATTTTTTTTTAAATCTGAAGTTTATAAATAGAACGGGAAAAGTAGAACATTAATGAAATTAGGCACTTTTAGGTTTTTCTCGTGCAAAGGAGAAGGGGGCATAGTTATTAGAGAGAATTATAATGAAGTCCTAATAAAGAAAAATAACTACAAAAAAGTTTCAATAATAGGGTAAAAGTTGTTATTTTCTACCTAAACTTGTCATTACAGATTATTTAAATCGTTATTGAAATTTTTTGATAACTGTTTTTTTTTTGGGGACATGATTGTAATTCTCTTTAATTATTAGCTTACTCATGAAGGGGACTCCTTGTTTATGTCAAAAATATAAAATTCCACACTACTTGTTTTACTTGTAAATAATACACTCATTGTTGTCATGAAATCTAGTCCATTCAAAATCTAACTTGAATGGTTCAAATTTAAAAGTTTTAATTTTCGGTTTTTTAACAATACGTTTTCTTTTAAGAAGTGCCAGTTATTGAATTACTTTATTTTGAATTCTGAATCTATTAAAATAAAAAATTATTTAAAATATAAATAATATTTAAATTGAATTTAAATAATCTAAAATGAATCTGAATGGTTATGATGAAAATGAGCAACCCATATTTTTTTCATGAGCACGAAATGCGCTCGAGTACGAATCGATGGCAAACATAAGTTGGTGGGGGGTGAGCATGTTGAAATTAATTGAAGGGCGGCCCAATATCTTCCTAGCAAATCCATCGTAGGAGGTACTTCCTTAGATCCTACTCTACGTATGTGGGAAATGGGAATCATCCTTTGAAAATTAAATAAAAGTACTACTCCCTCCCTCGCTAAGGGCCTGTTTGGTTTGAGAAGAGAGTAGGGGAGAAAGGGGAGGGTGGGATAGGGAAGGGAAAGAGAGGTTTTATCCTCGCCATGTTTGGTTTGATTAAAAAGAAAGGGAATAGAGGATATTTAATGATCTATTGTTTGATTCAACAAGGGAAGGAGAGGAATAATAATAATCAATTTACTATTTTACCCTTACATATTAGTTTATATTTTTTATTGATATATTATATAAATTAATTTACATCTTAATTTAAATTATATAATTTAATGCAAATTCAGTCTTATCATGTTAATATGTGCGTGAAAAAATTGGTGCAGTAATTTTTTATTCTAATTAACATAATAATATATTTAAAATAATTAAATTAGCAAATTTTATACTCTAAGAAAAATAAAATTTTATTCTTTTTAGGCTATCCTTTTTTTCAGATTTAAAATATATGTAATAAATAATATATTTATTAAAAAAATAGTTAATTTTATAATATTATATTTTTTATTTAAATAATTTTTATTTTAAATAATTTTTTATAATATATTTTTAATTATAATAATTTATATTTTTTATTTTATATATATTTTTTATTTGAAATAAATATTATAATAATATATTTTATGGATAATAGTGAAATATTAAAAAAATCATAAGATTATAATAGTTTAAAAATTTAACTCTCCTCCAAAAACCTCCAATTTGGAGGGGAGCTAAAATGGGAGGGAGGGAGGGAGGAGACATTTTGGTTTCCATCCCCTTCAAAATTTTTAACTAAATGAGGGGAGGAGCTCATTTCCCCTCCCCTCCCCTCCAACCAAACAAACCCTAAATATACTATAGGTAGTTTAGAATTTCATGATATTTTTATTTGTGTAAATATTACTTGAATCCAAATAGAATATATTACTTCCGTTTCTCAATATAAAAATTTATTTTATTTTTATTTTAGTTTTAAATATAAGATTTAAATCTACTTTATCTCTCATTTATTCTTTTTTTTCTAAGGTAGTCATTATAATAATATAGTTCTAACCAATACATTTAATTAGTAAGGATATTTTAGAAAAGACAATACTTATTTATTATAAATAACTAACTTAACTAGTTTTTTTAATCTACTCAAATTAATCAACTAGTTCTTATATTAAAAATCAGAAGTAATATATATGTTAGTTAAAAATAATTCAAGAGAGTATATTTTACGGGAATGGGGTTGAAATGTGTAAGAAACAGAATCGGGTTGCACAGGGAACGGAGGGTATCATGGGCTCATGCGCGAATGATTTATATCATACTCCCTTCTAATAGAAAAAGTTTAGCAAATTAAATTGTTGCGAAATTTAGCTGAATTTTAATACTATCCTGTACTAAATTCTCACATCATATTAATTTATATTTAGGGGTGGAAACTAGCTATGCTTTATCCTTAACAGGCTAGGCTTGTGTTAAAGCCTGTCGGCTTAAGCCTAGCCCGTGGCTTGTGATAAGCCTTGTGTTCAGCCTAAGCCTGGCCTGAAATCTGTTAAAAAGCTTAAAAGTTTTGAAAATTTTAAACATACATAAATTAATTCAAAATTATAATAACTCAATCTAAATATCTAATATTGAAATTGTAATAATAGGCTGACTTTAAAACTGGTTTTTTGAGGAGAAGATGCAGTCAAATAAGCCATAGATTCTAGACGAAACAACTTGTAATGGTCAGCTAAAAAAATCAATCAGTAATAACATAATCTATTGATGCGTTCTAATCAGTTTGTGAAAAAAATTTAGAAAACTAGCAAATGAATTAAGGCAAATCATCTTAGACTTAATAACGTCATTCATAGAGATATGCAAATCATCATAAATGGGCATCATTCAACATATTGCACTTCAATAACACTCCTAGACAACCTATCCAATTCAAACCAAAATAATAAATGGCATCCTCGAATGGATAAATTACATCCATCAGCACTTGAACTCTTGAAGAACCATAGCAATTTGAGTTTCAACACTTGAAGAACTAAAGCAATTTAAGTTTCGATCATCAAAAAGCAATTTAAGTTTCAAATAGTAACATCTACTATCAAAACAAGAACCATCATTCCAGTCAAACATAGAATGACAGAGCAAAGAATATTTCAATTAAAATATCCCTAAAAGAAACACAGCAGCAGATAACTTAAAAACCAACAAATGACCGAGCACTAGCACTAGTAGATTGGAAGTTGAATAGCAAACGGCAAACAAAGGTCGGAGGTTGTTAGATTCATCAAACTAGGGTTCTTCAAATGGGTTAGCTTACCTGGCTAGATGAGCAATGAGGACTAAGGAGGAAGAGTTGTCAACATCAGTGAGGGGTTCAAGCTCCGACCTCCAAGTTGTGGCTTGTGATTGTGAGGACTGAGGAGGAGGATGACTCGATGCCTCCGATGCTATGGCTTGGGCTTGGGAGTCAACGTGGCTGAGGATATGGAGACCGGAAATTAGAAGACATGAAGATTGAAGAGAGGTAGGTGACTACACGACTGAGCATCCTTCACACCAATGCTAAGCAACTGAGCGACGCCGGTGAGCACAAGCACAAACCGTGGAGTCAAGTGCCTATCTATTTGACTCTGAGATTGAGGTAGGAGAAGGAGACCAGAGATGGAGAGTCGATTTGAAAGGTGAGACTGTGACTCTGGGACTATAAGGGTGAGAGTAAGAGCAGTGGTCAAAAATTGAAATGAAGATTGAGGGGAAAACGAAAACTTAAGGGAATTATGGAGTAAATAATTTTTTTGCCTATTTACTTAACAGGGTTTAAAATTATATATCATGTAAATGTAGTGACAACAAAACGTAATGGTGTAGTGGTGAAGTAACTTCTCACTCACTCACAAGTCATGGGTTCGAGACTTACATTTTCCAACCGCCTGACAAGCCTTACAGGTATCTCATAGAGCTTGAGCCTAGCCTGTTAGATGAAATAGGTTTCTAAAAAAAGCTTGAGCCTGTGTTTTTTTTAAAATAAGCCTGACCTGATCAAGCCCAAAGTAGGCCAGGTTGCAGGCTCCTGACAGGTCGCTTGGCCTATTCCCACCCCTATTTATATTTCATTACTATCCTCATTAAACATGATAATATAAAGAAAAAAATGTTTAATACTTATTCAAATTATCAAATATTCTTGTGAAAAATAAGAAATTTCTTTTAGAAAGACTCCTATAATAAGAACTAGAGTGAGTAATAATTAGTCTTAAGTACTGTCTGCGTGCGTGTGGGGCAACAACATTTGTTCTCTCACGTATTGGCTTCCACATCGGACTTGTGCCTTACCACTAACAAGCTTTGTTTCCCTGGCTCAACAATTTCTTGCTCTTATCCTCCCCAATCAAGCAAGATTCAAGGTCTCATTACATGATCAGGTCCCAAAAAAAAAAAAAAAGTCTCATTACATGCTCCTTGGATGATATTAAATGTATATTAGAAGCTAGTTAGAAAGTTTATTTTGACCATAAACATAATATCTTCATTTATTTTATATTTATATTTATTATTTTTTAAATTAATTTATAAAAAACTGATATACTACCTCTAGTCTTTAACATAAAACTTTTTTGACTTTATTTTAATCCTAAATATAATATTCCAATCTAACTTGTCTCTCATATTTATCTATTTTTTTTCAAAATAGTCTTTACAATAATAGTAGTTTTAGTTAATACACTTGATTAGTAAGGATATATTATGAAAGACAATACATATTTATTACAATAACTAATTTAACTAGTTTTCTTAATTTTCTTAAATTAGCAAACTAGCTTTTATATTGATGACCGGAGGCAATATAATTTGATGTTATATAGTATATTTTAGGAAGATTATTATGTCATATTTGTTATAACTAATTAACTTAGCCTCATTAATTTATCCAAGTTAGTTAAGTAGCTAGCTCTTACATCATGGACAAGAGGAGTATAAAGACATCACATATCTATGTGTGCGTGCTCCCTCGTGTCTTAGACTTAGGGGCTATACAATTAATTTATGAAAATTAGAAAAATTAGTCAAGGTAATCATTTTAATCATATATATTGGAAATACTCTCTTAATAAACAAAATCCCTTGATCCATGTAATCAATCAACAGGGAGAGCTAAGGCCAAAGGAAAAAAAAAGAACAATCAATGGGGAGAGTTTACGAAAAAAATATAAATTTAGGAGATAAAAACATCTTGCATGTAGGATAAAAACATATAAAACCCTCTCTACTAACACTTACATTTAGACTAGGAGGGAGAATCCATAAAAGTATCTACAAAAATAATAAGAGCAAGCATTTGAAAGCTTCAAAATGGGAAATGGTTTACTAGGGAATGAAGAGATGACAAGTGGAATTGAATAACTGGGTTCGGTGTTTGCGATCGTAATGGTTATGGAGGATGAGGAAGCAATGAAGATGGTGATGGAACTTAGGGTTGATGAGGTTAGGGACGATTCTGTAAGTGGAACTCACTCTCACGCCTATCGAAATGGCCAATCCTCTTGCTGACTCCAACAAGTCCTGCATCTCTCTTCCTGCTCCGTACATTGCCTTGTTCTTCACTCCCACTTCCATTCTATATATCGTCGTCCCACTCTCTGCATACACTTCATCGCCCTGCCTCCATCATCGTCATCATCATCAACCTCATCAATTACAAGTTCCTTACAATTTTCTCAAGTATAGCTAATTGTGACTGATATAGATACTGACTAAACAACATGTAAGTTGTCACAAAATATTATGTTTATAATTGCCTCCTTACATTTATATACACTACCTCAAACTTTAATATAAAATACAACTGACTAATTTGGGAAGAATAAGAAAACTAAAAAATTACTTTAAAATATTCGTATTTATTGTTTTTTTAGACTAATTTGTTTAACTTATAAATTGATATATAATTTAATGATACACATAATTAAGTATTTTAGAAACGTATTTTAGAAAAATTATGTAACATAAATTATAATTAAGGTAATTTTTTTAAAAAAAATTAACTTTTTTAAATTAGTCAACTAGGCCTTATATTAAGAGTTATAGATAATAATTTGTGAGGGAATCAATTCCGATATATGTTAAGTGAGAGTCATATCATCAGCTATGAACTTTTTTTTTATAGTGGAGAAAATGAAGAGGAGGAGGGAGGGTTACATACATGAGAGAGAGCAAAGGGTAAGATGGAAAAGGACAAGTGGATGAGAGGAGGATGAAGGTGAAGGCGAAAGAACTTGGATTTGTTTAGGATTCCCAAACTGATGGAGCAACTGAAGGTCAGGATCTTGGTTGACACCCCGGTCCTGTCCACTCCTTCCCCTAACTTAAACTCTCGCACTCTTTCCACCTGCAATGATATAATATTCATATCACCAAAGTAATTAATCAAAAAGAAAATTCTTGAATTTACAAAGTAATAATAAATCTAAATACCCCATTTCAATAAATTATATATCTTCAATAAATTAAAGTAGAGGAGACATGATGGCATATAATGGAGCACATCGACATGGCGTGACCACTCTAGTCTACAGCCCCCCCTTTCTTTTTAATATATTGTTACTATAATATATTTATCAATGCAGGTATCGATCTTGTGCATAACATAAATAATATGCTAACATATTGGACCCACATCGTCATAGATATTCATCATTTCAACCACATCTTTTGTGGCATCATAATGCAGCATAGTGTATAATAATAAATCCCATTAGCAGATGTTCATAGAATAATAGTCAAAATAAAAACACATCCCATGAAAAATGATGCTCTTTTGCCCACTTCAATATTCCTCCCTCATCATAAATTATTTGTAATCCTCCTTTTCAATTACACTCACACTGATAAATTTCCCTCCTTTTAAATAGCTTGTCCAGAAACAAAATCACAACTAGTATCTGCCTTTTAATTTGCACAATGGCAGAAAAGTACAAATGATTTATATACCTAGGTGTTGAATTTTTGTGTCTCGCAGGTATTGGAGGCAAAATTGCTTGAGGCATTGCCAGTACTAAATAAGAGCACCTATCCTAATAAAGATTCAAATATTAGTTCATCTCCTTACAGTATTTAGTCTCTTTCACTAAACTCAACCCTATACTATTTTTATTTCAAACCCCACATAATTGGGAAAAAAAAATTACTCGGTACCTGGAGGGAAAGCACAGGAGGGGGAGGCTTCGTAGCAATGTAGAAGACAAGCAACGCAACACTTAGACTCACTAACAGTCTCCAGCTAATCTGAATCCATATCCAAGCCCACGAGTCTGTGTTCCGGTATGTCCAGTACCTCCTCCACCCTTTCTCCTTCCTCCAATCATAATCAAACACGTCGTAATCATCTTCCTCCTCATCATCCTCACCGTTCCTGTTCATTACAATCAGGCGGTTCATATCCCCGTCGTTCTCCGTAGGCGCCGTGGCATGGCTCTCGTCGTACGACACCTTCTTGTGGTGGTGGTAGCAGTGGACAGAGCCCCGGGAGGAGGATGAGTAACGGCAGAGGGCGTCCACATGGGTCGGGTTGGAGACGGGGCGGGGCGGGGGAATGGAAGGTGGATGATTCGGCGTCGTTTTGAGTGAAGGTGGTGGCGGAAGGGCTCTGGACGTAGTAAGCAGGCAATGAATAGGAATGGTGGCGGTGGTGGTGATACATGAGAGCCTCGTGCTCTTCCACAGCAACGTTGTTGTTAACGTTCGACATTCTTGTTGTGAGAGAGTTGTGAGCTGATGAGTTGTGAGTGTTTGCGTGCGTCTTCCAAAATGGCAAAGCCGTTTGGGATTTTAAAATGAATCAAAGAGATTTGCTCCCAAAAAAAAAAAAAAGAATCAAAGAGAGTGGGATTGATGTGAATGATAGCATATAGAGGTTTGGGTCTTCATTAAGAGACAACAAAAGAAGCAAACATAATTGCCCCTAATTAAGTGTTCACGGATACCCTACTGTTTTTTTCAACTATATTCTATTATTACCTCCGCTACTTAATATAAGAGTTTATTTGATTTTTATTTTGGTTCTAAATATAAAAAACCTAATCTACTTTGGCTCTTATATCTATCTATTTTTTTCTTAATATAATCCTTATAATAATAGTAGTTCTATCCAATACACTTGATTAACAAGGATATTTTAGGAAAAATAACACCTATTTATTACAAATAATCAATTTAGCTAGTTTTTTTAATCTACTCAAATTAGTCAACTAATTTTTATATTAAGAATCAAAAATAGTATTATGTACACAGTATAATTTTTTTAAATATATATATAAAAAGTTATATTATATTATTCCTAGTCAACATCTAAAGTCTAGGAACATTTTTTTCAAACATAAAGTCACGTCATTTGACTGATTTTGATCCTTTAATTTGTTGATTATAGAATTTTTCCCCTCCCGTATGGTTGAATTCCGATAACACGGGTGTCGATAATTATATATTAATCATATATTCCCATAAGAAAAAAAACCCACAAATTTTAAGTCATTTTTTTAGATATACTAACTAATTTTCAAACATTGTATGAAATAATTATGATTAATTTAGACTGAACCAAGTTGAATTATATCGATGGAAAACTCGGGTAATTCTTTTTTCATAACCGCATGTATCCGATATATGAATTAAAATTTTTTCGTAATTCTTATGTTAAAATGTTACACTTTTTTTTATATATTTACAACTAGACCCATCTCTATCTGGAATATCCGACAAATGAATTAGAAAAAAAAGGAGGTAATGTTATAATTTTCATTGAGCAACGTGATTAGAAATTAAAATAAATAAAGAAAATAATAAGGCCGAGGAGGGAATGCTGTGATTACGGAAAAGTGTTGGGGGGCTTGACTCAGGAGATTGCGCGTAAAAAAAGGCATCTTAATGAGTTTTTAAAAAATTAAATAATAAAAGGCGTGCTTTTGCACCGAAATGCCAGTTTGAGAAGGACAGCAAAGTATGCACGCTTTACTCATTACACTGTTCTCCTCCTTTTTTTTATTTATGGCTTATAGTAATAATAATTAAGATCTACCACCTAAATATGTTCTATTAATTTAATTGTGTCCTCCCAAATATGCCCAGGCCCATGCATTTTATATTAATTAATTGGATCCAATGCTTGCTTCATATTTGATGAACAGAGCCTCGATGGTCAACGAACCAAAAAAAAAAAAAAAGATGAGCACTCAATAATATTATTTTTAGTTCTGAAATTTAATCTCATTTTGATTTTACTCCTTAAAATTTGAAATCAGTATTTTTTATTTTTAAAATTTAACCTCATTTTGATTTTGGTTTCTGGAATTTAAAACCAATAATTTTGATCCTTAAAATTTAACCTTATTTTAGTTCTAGTCAAAATATAAACTGACATGAAGTGATGATTTTTTGGGCCAGATGTTAAGTGAAAAATGGGCTGAGTAAAACTTTGACATTTTGATCAAACTAATCAAATAGACAAGAACTGATTTTGCGTTTTACTTGAATAAAATATGTGATATTATATACAGAAAAATTACAAACGTAAGATCACAAGTATATTAATTGTTATGTATATAAATATTTTGGCCCCCGGAAAAATTTTTGTCCCCCAAAGGCCGAATATCTGAAACCATTAGTTTTAAATTTTAGAAACCAAAACTAAAATAATATTAAAATTTAGGAACTAAAAATAATATTAACCTAATATTTTACTTCTTTGTTATACAATATCTGTATCAATATCATCGGTCCATCCACATCCTAAAGCATTATTGTCCTCTTTCATTGTCGATCCCTAACAGGAAGAGAGATAAGAGAGAGCAGGATAAGCAGTATAAATGAATTGTATATCATTATACATATCAATTTATAATACTCATTTTAAAAAAATAAAATTATAATACTATCTCGAGTCCTATTTATAATATATCGTTCGTAGACTATAAACAATGTCTTATCATTAGAATCAGAGATACTATAATTTTTTTAAGAGAATGTAATATACTACTTGTATGCATGCCCTTGCACATGACTTGAATGATGAGTAACTTTGTTCATGATATGCGTATAATGTGGATTGCATAAATTTAATATTTTTATATTGTTTAATCATAGTAAATTTAATTAACCATATACCATGTTCATACAGATACCTATTAAACTATATATATACATACCATTTTCATACAGATACCTGGTTTTGATGTTAATGTTTTGAATTGGGTTGTTTATCAATCAAAAGTATTGAAGTTAATTAAATAGCATGTTGCAATTTCATGGGATTGTAAAATTAAGTCAGAATTAATTAATATTTCTATAGTTTTTGTTTATTATATGAGCAGAGAAATTAAAATGCTGTGTCATGAAAACAGGGTGTTGAATGATCAAATTGGATTAAAATAATGATAAGTAATGTGAATGAAGAATAATTAAGACTTGAAGTAGAGATGAAATTTAATTGAAGATTTCTTGGAATTGAAGAGAAAAATAGATTGTACGGCAAGGGTGTGTTAGGCATATATGGTAATCATGGTAGCATATATATATATTGGTTTAAATATATAACACTATACTTTTTGCTTTTGTATTAAGATATTATTAACTCCACTTCTCCCAACCATCATCATTCAAACTAAATCAACATGTAGCTTTTTTAAAATATATATATATATATATATTTCATTTTTCAAATACAAAGATACAACTTACGTTATATGTTTTCAATTGTTTGTGATGTTTCTTTTGTCTAACCGTAGGAACATGAATTGTTTATAACTAGAAACTCCATATATTGTTTTTCACGTATAGTATATGTATGGGATCAGAAATAAGATGTATTTTTCATAAATTATCCGTGTATAATATGGTTTTTATGTATATATTGTAATTTTTTGTATTGATATATTTGCTTGTAAAATATTTTGAAATAAACGTGAAATAAGTTAACTATAAATATGTGATGAAAATAAATTAAAAGTGAGTTTTATATAAAGTCCTCCCTCGTTATGTAATTTTCTAAATATACTTTAGCTACACTAGCTTGCAAATTTGACAATTTAGAGAATTCAAATTAGGGATTAGTACGTAAACTGTAATCCTAGCTTTTTTTTCCCTGAACAATGAGAATTCATGGCTGATAATCACCTATAATATGACTAGTCTTTTAATACAATATTTAATATATACCTGATACTAATTTTTTTGACCAAATCTCTGATACTCATTTACTACATAAACTTGTTATTTTTTGGGTAATATGAATTAATTATTATTGTAATTAGTTCCGCGTAAGTGTGATCTAAAATATTTGAAAGATCTGTACAAACAAACAAAATATAATTATTTCAAGGATCATAGTTAATAGTAATTAATTAATAAAAGCGTTTTACTTATGGAAACCAATTTTAATCTACATCATTACACAAAAAGACAACAGATTAACAATAAAAAAAATTAACAACATTAATGTATTCTGTCACAAATCCATGGCAAATTCATTTTTACTATTAGCCATGAAATATTTCTGTTGCAAAAATTTCATCACTAATCTGTTACAACATATTTAGCAATGAAATTTTCTCTCACAAACCTTAAGGAGAACCAATTCTTATTTAGGAGAATTATAATGAGATTTTAAAAAAATAATTATTAAAAAGTCTTAATAACAATTTAAACAGTCTGTAGTAACAAATCCCAGAATAAGAAATTAACAAGTCCCAGAGTAAAAAAAGACAATTTTTAAATTTATTTTGTATGTATTTTATTTTCTTAGAATTCATTATAATTCTCCCTTCTTATTTTGGGACGGCATGGTCATGACATGACAATGAGGTGGCAATCAGGTGACGTGGCGCTAGTGATGTGATGTTGGGCCAAACATTTGCGTAGAGTTTAACTTAGGCGCAAATAAATTAGTGACCATCAGACTAATTCCATCACTAATCTATTTAACAATAAAATTATCCTTTATATAAAAATTTCATCACTAATTCACTGTTTTTTCACACAGTACATCATTTATTTTAGCCAAATATCTCTATCTACCACACATATATTCGTTGTGTATCAGAATTCATAGAAGTGTTGCAAGTCTCGTATTATTGAATCTATAAATTAAATAAAATTTCACGTATATTTTAAATTCAAATATCTTCTTATATGTTTAATTCTTCTTGTTACCTTAAACAATATTTAGTACTGCATTTATCCTTAATATAAAAGCTGGATAAACTAAATTAAAAATATAATCTTAAAAAAATTAGTTAAATTAGTTATTTATCACGAATATCTGATGGTTTCCCTTGATTATCCCTTTGTGCTATGGATTATTGAAATTATCTTTTAATGAGAATCCATTATAATCAGTAAAAATATTCTGAAAAAAAAAAATAAAAGACAAAATGAATTGAAATTTTATATTTACAACGAAATTTATTCTCCAACTAGCTTTTATAAGTTGTAGTATTATTAATGAATCTAAATTTGATTATTATTGAGCCCAAATAAAGTTAGCTTTGCCAAAACAGCTTTTTCTCTCCAAAAATTTTGAATTTACTACTCAGCAGACCGACTTCATCCTCCATCCCGTTTTCAAAGGGATTTTTTTGTTGAAATTGTGCATTTTGACATTTAAGTAATTCTAAGGGAAGCCTGAGAGCATCAACGTCGCTTTGGCCGAGTGGTTAAGGCGTGTGCCTGCTAAGTACATGGGGTTTCCCCGCGAGAGTTCGAATCTCTCAGGCGACGTTCTCAATTTTTTCGTTTACTCTTTCTCTGTTTCTTCTTTTCCCCGTCCAAATTTGTTTGTTTAATCACTGTGTTTCCTCTCTCCCTGTCCATTTTTTTTCTAATCACTTCCTCTTTCGCTGTTTCGTCTTTCACTGACCGAGGGAGGGAGGCATGGAGCTAAATTTCTTGAAGCAAAGCAGTAAAATACAGAATAGAGAGAAACAGTATAAATCGAATAAAAACTTCCAACTTAACTATTTTGGTCTGATGAGTTTACATCATCATTATCTTCTTGTACATGTTTTTTTTTTTTTTCCTCCGCGGTTACTTTTCACTAACTCAATATAACAACCTCTGCATATTTTTGCTTCCTTCTCTTATAATACAAACAACACTACGTACAGTTCAACAACTAACACCTTTTTCATTTCATTCTTCCGCTTTTTTTGACTTCTCCCTAATACAACGTAACCTTTCTCACTATTCACATTTTCTCTTCTTCAATCTTCATCATAAGAATCTCCTTTGAAGTTTGAACATTATTGCACCAACCTAACCTATTCCCGCAAATTCACACAAAGAAAATGGCACCAGAAAAAACAAGATATGCAACAACATTAATGCCCATGCACCCCTCTATTCACAAGCAACTCCAGATTTCTCTCTACCATATTTATATGTACCTCACACAAGAACGGAGTTCTTGAAGGAAATTTGGAAGCTGGTTGTGTACAATTCTGAGAAATGGTGAATGAAACAATGGGTGATGACAAGAAGGTAAGATATGGTCCACAAAAGGGTTTGTGTTTATTGTACTCGGAGGAACTGAATGTGGAGGAAAAAAATGTTTGTGCATTGAAGGTGTTTAAGTAAACGTCTAAAAGAACAAGAAAGAAAATGAAAAATTCCGAGGGTGGATATATATTACTCATTGAACTTGAAGAGAACAGGATATACCTTGCAAAGAACAATACTCAACGAGATTGGCTTTGGAATTTGGGTGTGTACAATTGATGAGAAAAGGCAGAAAATGGGTGATCCACAAAGGGTTTATGGTTATTTCATTTGGAGTGACTGAAAGAGAGGAAAAATGGGTTTGTGCATTGACCGCGGTTGCGTGAATGTCTCTGTGAGAGGGAGGGAGGGAGGGAGAGGGAAATGAAAGATTTCCAAAGTTGGGACATTGCTCATTCAACTTGAAAATCAAGGAAAGGAAAAGAGGATATATCTTGCATCAAACCCTCCAAATCCCATTCTCCCACTCTTAAGTTTTCTCCTGATTGTCCATGATTATAATTCCCAAACCCGACCAAGTCCTGATGATGATGATGATGATCAGTGTTATTGAAGCAACCATTATTAAAATGGTTGTTGTTGATTTGACTTTTCACATCAGTAGGAACAACACTACTACTATTATACTTCTCTTCCATGCTTCTACTCTCTAGAGGAGGAAGACACAGGTCTCTTTCTAACCCCATTATTTTACTATCTTCTCCCTCTAACCCCGTCCCATTATTATAATCATCTCCATAAAACCCATCCTCCACCACGCCGCCGCCACCATCACCACCAAAGGATGCAGGCATGTCATAAGGAATATTACTGTGATTATTCAACATGGAAAAGGGATACTCCATTAACTGGTGGTCACCACCAAAAGCTGCGGCTTGCATGGATTGTACGGATGCCGATGAAGATGATGATATTGATGAAGGTGATGAGTCCATATTGCACATGGTCATGTTGATGAAGGGCATTGAGGATGTGGTGGTGGTGGTGGTGATGCCATTCAGCATAATATGATTTGGTGATGAGTCTGTACTGTTGTTTGGTGAAGGAATAGCAGTAGAAGTAGTAGCAGCAGTAGTACAAGCAGTGTTGTTTTTCATCCTTTTCTTTAAAGTAGAGTTCCAGAAATTCTTAATCTCATTGTCTGTGCGTCCTGGAAGACGTGCTGCTATCTGAGACCACCTGAGATTTTCAGAACCAGAAAAAAAAAAAAAAAAAGATTTAAAAAACGCTAGATGGAGAAGACAGAAACCTAATGTGTATGTTGTGTGTGTGTGTGTGTGTGTGTGTGTGTGTGTGACACTGATATATATTCACAAAGATTTCTAAGCCTGTAAGGTGCAGCACAAAAACTGTATGGCTTATCTTCAATCCATGTGAGGACCTCTTAGGTTAATGGGCAGGGAAGGAATTGTCCTGTGTGAGAGCCTCCATGTGAGGCCAAGTCATAATCAGAAGGTGATATTTTTAGTTGGTGCTGTTAATTAAATAGAAAGCTTTTTGTTGCTCTAACTAACAGGTATATGTAACTTTCGATTGGGATAATGATAAATGTTTGATCCAATAGAAAATCAAAGAAACTTAAAGTAAAGAAAAAACTTGAGTCATCATTTTTAGGTAGATCATATAATAATGTCAATGACATCATTCATGATCACCATTACTGACGGATTTGTCACACAGAAGAGTGAGGAGCTCAATCACATTAAAGGTGTAAACTTTGTGATTTATCCTTGATCATTTATTTGAATATGGTAGGTATATAATGTAAGAATCCCGAAACCTGTGCATTGAGATGGTACCCCACATCAGTTAGATTTTGGGGGGAAAAAAATTTATGAATTACATTCTGTCGGACGATTTCCGATAGAAACTTGAAAACCCCACAAAGAGGAAAATGAAACTGAGCATGTAAGCTGGAAAATGAAGAGCTGATAATGCATGCAGCTTTCAGATAAAAACTAGAATCTTTTGGGAAAATAGTGGAAGAAATTCACCAATCATTAATAACACCTCCGGTTCTTAAAGCTAATTGACTAATTTGAGTAGATTAAGAAAATTTGTTAAGTTGGTTATTTGAAATAAATATGTATTGTTTTTTCTAGAATATCCTTGTTAATTAAATGTATTAGTTAGAACTACCATTATTACAAAAACTATCTTAGAAAAAAATTAGATAAATATAAGAGACAAAGTAGATTAGAGTCTTATATTTAGAACCAAAATAAAAGTCAAACAAACTCTTATGTTAAGGACTGGAATTAGTAGTAAATTAGGCAAACTCTCTTGAAACCCCAGACAAAACTTTGTACACAGAAACTTCAAAGATCAGTAACAAAATATTGTGAGTCATAAAAAGATTATATTGCGTCAATACATAAATATGACTTAGTTATAGTTGCCTTGGATTGATCTTAACTGTATATCTTCTGTGAGCCCAAGCATTATTAAGTTCAGTTGGATTTTCTAAGATTAATGTATGTAGTCAATGATATAGCCGAGGTGTTCAGATATTCCTCCTATATATGTTAGTCTCTAATTAATTAGAAAAGGAATTCTTTGTCTGTATATGTGTACTTTGTACGCGATGAAGTGCTCAGACAAAAACAAATCCAAAGAACTGACGAGTATGCAAGGTAAAGAAAATTCATGAATACTCTATGTATGAAAATTTAACACATGAATACTCTAATAATACCATAGATCACTTTAAGAGAAGTGGAAGAAATTAAATATGAATAATTTCTTGTAACATCTAACAAAAATGTCTAAGTTAATAAAATTCCTCTATTTGAAGCATGTTAACTTGGCATCCATATTAAACAGACACGTTAATAATAATTGAGGAGAAAATAAAAGAATAAATTTAAGCGATTGATATATCTCATATGAATATATATGTAATGAATTAGCTTGAGATTTAATGATTGAAGATAAAACAATTAGTGGGGGGAAAAAACACTTACCTATTGCCAAGAATGGAATGAAAATGGAGAATGAGTTGTTCTTCTTGGAGAGAGAAAGCGCCTCTCTTAAGGTCAGGTCTGAGATAATTAATCCAACGAAGGCGACAACTTTTACCACAACGTTGAAGACCTGCATTTCTGGCAATGTCACTCCAGCAACCTTGTCCATTGGTCAACATGTACCTTATTAGCTTCTCATCCTCCTCCGGCGACCACAACCCCTTCCTTAGCTTCACAACGTTGTTATTGTTCTTACTACTGTTCTTGTCCCTCCCCATTATCATATGTATCGGCTAGTGATATTGAGGATAGAGACAAAGGGAGGATCAAAGTTTCTTTTTTGTCCAAGTGGGTTTGTGAGAGAGATCTGACAGAGTGCTATATAGCAGAAGGAGGCTTCATAGTGTGGGAATGGTGATGATGATGGTGACGGGCTTGTGGGGTTTGCTTAAAATATGAAACATGAGTGAGAGAGAGAGAGAGAGATTGTGTTTGTTTGTGTAGTTAGTTGATGGGTAGAGTGGAAAACGGATTGGAGGGGGACCTCCATTAATGAATACATAGAAAGAGAGAGTGAGAGAGATCAGACACAGAGAGGGATGGTTGGTCTTCTTGTCTTTGACTCAATTCTAGTCTTTTTCGATATATTTTACTTCACTCACAAGGTAATCATCGTCCTCCTCCTTCTTCCCTTGATCGCTTCTATCTTTTTGTATGTAACACTAACAATTTTATTGCTTCCACTTCACATAATGCCCTCTCTCTCTCTCTCTCTCTCTCTAGGGTTTAAACTTCAAATTCACGTGTGTGATGAGACTTAAAGAAAGAAGAAGCCGACATCATGAGATCCATAGTAAATTTAATTTATTAAATCTATATAACGCCACTAGTAAGGAAGATTCATCTTTTTATAAAGCCATTCAGGTTTATCTAAATAAAAAATATATAATATATATTTAGCATGATCTATCTATTATTTATACTTTTCCTATATACTGTGAAATTTCCCTAATTTATTTTTTTTTCTGGGGAAAGTGTTGCACGCTTCACAGCTGTCTGATGATTTCCGTGTGTGTATGTGTGTGTGTGAAATAATTATTTTAAGGGTTATGTGAAGGTTACATTGTTTTGCATGAGTATGAGCTTCATTACGGGTAACAACTTTAAGTGGCATGTTTCTGAAGCAAATCATTTACACCTCCCAACAAAGCAATGCCAATTAATTTGTCTTTCTTTTATTGGCATAATCTTATGATTGCCGCCATGCTTTTCCAGATTAAGTATTATTCACTATAGTATCCTTTCAACATATGAAACATCACAACCAAGATTTGTACGTGTAAAATGATGATGAGCACATGGTTATTATATAACTAACTGCGCAGGTTAAAACTCAAATTGAAGTACAAAAAGAAGTTTTCACTTTTAATCTAGCTATATTTGCAGAATTTACTGCTCCAAGGGATGACATAATCACAATTAATTAAGTAGCAGTACTTTGGTAGAAAGCAAAGAAAGTACCCTTAAAAAGGTTGTTCTTGCAATGAGAGGAGGAATCTCAATAGGTTTATTCTAATTAAATGTATATTATTTTGTTAATCATATGCAAGAATAATCCTGAGTTTAAACTAATTTCCGTAAAATAATATATAAATAAATAAACTGAATTTTAATTTTACTGATTTACATTGTTTGGCTAAAGTTGAATAGATATAGAGGGAATGATAGTGTGACTTGAAAAGTATACATTACTTGATTTTGTGGTAAAAATTAGTTGGATATTTGTTCTTTGATCAGGATTTCTCCTTCTTGAAGGATAACACGTGTGCTTCTTATCCATTGTAACAGCTGGATAATATCTATTTTTTCCTACCATGCTTCTTGGTTTGTTTTACAATCATCTGATATAATTTTTCTTTATTATTATTATTATCCCAATCAAATCATATATGAATTAGGGAAAATGGTGTTTAAATAAAAGACTACTAAACCCATTGGTATCAATTGCATAAAATATCATAACTAAGAATGTTTCAAGATTTCACCTTGTTTATAACTTTATCTGACATGAATTTTTAACCTGAAAATTGAATTCAAACTTTACAAGATCACTTGCACAAAACTTTTATGCTTGAATATGGACATATCCAATCCTTTTCTTCCTGGCTGTCAAACTATATCTCTTTGGCTAATTCCCTTTCATTACCTACTCATGTTTCCCACAGCCAAATATTTTTCATACAGAAAATATTTTCATGAACCATATAAAGAAAATCCTATTCATCATCATCATCATCATCATCAGTATCTCAGTCATTGTCCAAATCATAAACAGATATACATGAAAAACTCTGTCAATTCCAAGAAGTTCCAAGGGCATTACAGTAATTGGGCTGTGTTCTGACAGGGACTCCCACAATTTTCTGAGATGAAAATGAGTCAGAAACTTGAAGCTACTCAGATGTTTCAAAGGTGGCATCATTTCGTTAATCAACAGCTGTCCCAATAAAAGAGAAAGAAGAATGAAAATTTTGTGATGCTTGTGAGGATGTCCCAAGCAACATTCTACTTTGTTACAAAGACAAGAAACAACAACTCACCTGAGCATTCTTTTCTGTGTCACTCCTTGTACTACACTGTAATAAGGATATAATATTTTATGAACATGCAGAGAGGCAGAAAAACAAAAAGTTGAAGCACTTTGAAACACATGATGAACAATAAAGGGGAAAGTACTAAGGGAGATGGAAGTCCATGGCTGAGTCTCAACAATTTTGATCCTGCTAAGGGGGAAAAAAAAAGGCAGGCTACAAAATCTGATTGTCTCTGTCCCTCTTTTATTGTCTCTTATAGCTTTTATTTGTGATATTTTTTAGTTTTGTTTCAATCATTGCTGATGGGACATCAGAGTGATTCGCTTAACAAAAGAAAACATTGATTCCACATATATCAAGTACAAAACATAAAAAATATATTTTTTTGAAAAATAAAATTTAACTGTATATGGTAAGCTTATATTTCAGTACTGGACTGTTTATAGAACACAATTAAAACAGTTATATAAGAATCTTTTGAAATATTAATTGTCAATGATTTGCCATCAATATCATGGATATTAAATTATCAAGGAATTTGCCATTTTTCCACACGAAAATTCAAGGGAGAATTATAATGAGATCCCAAACAAAACAAAAAACAATTGAAAAACAAGTCCCATAGGTTGTCATGCTCACTATAAAACTTGTCATTACAAGCTGCTCAGGTTGTTATTGGGACCTTTTAGTGATTATTTCTCTTCTGTAGGACTTGAATGTAATTCTCCCAAAATTCAACCATAAAATTCCCTCAAGCCTATTTAGAAGCAACATGGAATCAACAAAAATATGCATGAGTAAGCTAGCATACACAAGACTTTCCTAGAATAGAAACACAGGTGCCAAGAACTTGGTCCATAATAATGGAAAGTCTGTACAGAACCCAACAAACTCCATCATTTAATTTAGAGATACAAAGCATTCATTTGAAAAGACGTTCTAAGCTACACTCAGATAAAATAAATCAAGCTGAGACCCACTCGTGACAGTCCTCTAAGTCCAATCATCATCGGTTGATGTAAACAAACCACGAACACCATAGAATTTTCCTTAGAATGTTTGTGCTGAGGACCTTTTCTTTGGAAAGAAATGGTATAGGCAAAGGTACATCATATTGTAAAAAGTCTGATGTCCTTGAAAACTGAATATGGTACAGAAGTACTTCTTGCAAGATAACCGAAAAGGTGCCAGATAAGCACTTACTCAAACTCATTTACAGGGCCAGCATTATACGGGGCCAGCATTATAAGTTAGAAGAGGAAGCTTTTATTTGCGAAAAAAGATGGCATTCCATCAAATACAAATCCAGATCTGAGCACATTATTACCAAAAAAAAAAAAAAAAGAATATATGATACTTTTTTCTCTTCCTGAAGCAATTTGATTTTGAAGCTATGAATAGCAAATCCTGGCCTTTCTAGATGTCAACAAAGTCTATGGGTTCTTGCAGGAACCTCTCCATCTGAAGTGCCCTAGTCTTAATGGACATGTCAAGGACCTTCTGATCAAATTCTACCACCAGACCTCCCAGTATGCTTGGATCAATCTGAAAAAAATATATTTAATCACATTAAGTTTATTTATAGAGGGGAAGAGGAGGGGGCAATAAAAGATATTAACAGTACGTACCTTTTGTTCAAGGCGAACCTTTTTCCTGGCTCCTATGATAGCCTGAAGAGTCTCCTTCAGTGCCTGCTCCTCTTCAGGCGTAAGAGGCTGGTATAAACATAAATTGAAGCCATGCAACAAGCCAAAACTAAACATCAAGTTAAATACAATATAGCCAGCAGAATAAATTAAACGTATAGAAAACATAGCATCTAGGAAGTTATCCTTTACTGACAATTCAGCTAGAAAAAGGAGACAAAATAAGGTGATCGGGAACAAAATTCAGAAACACAAAACGATATTATAATGCAAGTAATTTTAAATATTTAAGTTTCTTTAAAAATGATATGAGACAACGATAATGACAGAGAAAAAATGATGAAAGTAAGATACGTAGATACTGGAAATGATAAGACGATCAAAATAGTCAAGCCAGGTAGAAAAAGATTTTTTTTTTTCATTGAATCTGTAGATCCAAGCCAATAGATTAATGCAATGGTATCTTGGATGTGAAGGCATATGTAATAGAAAGAGGAATATTTATGTTCTATAAATGGAGGGGAAACTTAAAAATTCAAGGCTGTCAAATCCCCTAAATTGGAGGCATCTTATGCCTCCCCAGGTATGATGGATACTATTGTACCAAACACAAGCATTTCAGATGGCCGCTAGCACCCTGGATAGGACGAAGACTACGCTGTGTTAAATCCTCAAAGATGCTTTTGAAATATTTCTGACAAGTTATGCAGACAAAATAAATCCTCCGCCTTCCCTTCATCCGCAGAAGAGATTAGAAATGGACAAGTAGAATGAAAAGATGCAGCCCAGTCATATAACTATGCCACTAACCTTAGCATATTCAAACCAATTTTTGTTACTTGTTTATAAAAAGTGTGCATGTGAAGCTAGTATTAGAAGGAGCCATGTTCTGTATGACTTTCCAAGGACGTTGGAAAGCCATCAAAGAAGCGTCACTTACTATGACAGTGGTCACAGCAGCTTTCATTTCCCCTTTATATGCCATGGTCAATTCCACAAACTTCTTTGCTATGCTTTCTAAGTTTTGTGGCCTCCCATTCTCAGCCACCACAACTTTAAAATAGCAAACTCAA